GCATGGGTGAAGTCAAGGAGGGACTCTATCATATGAAGCTTGGAAAAATCTCTCATTCAGCCCTAATGGACTGTTCCACTATTTTAAGCAATCAGCCTTTCTCTTATGTTTCAGCCTCAGTAACTAATGACACTCTGTCTTTTGATGTTTGGCATTATAGGTTAGGTTACCCCTCTTATTCTATTTCCAATGTTGATGGTAATGTTCAATTTTCAAACACTTCAAATGATAAAATCTGTTCCATATGTCCTCTAGCTAAGTTACACAAACTCCCTTTTCCTGTGAGTGCACACAAAGCTAAAAGATGTTTCGAATTAATACATTGTGACATCTGAGGGCCCTGCAATGAAACTGGAAGTGATGGATCCAAGTATTTCTTGACCATCGTGGACGATTTCAGTAGGAGAACTTGGGCGTATATGTTAAAACTAAAATCTGAAGCAACCATTGCACTTCAAAACTTCTGTACTTTGGTAGAAAATCAATTTGAAACCAAGGTTAAAATCATTAGAACAGACAATGGGGGGGAGTTCAATATGAGGGAATTTTATCTCAAAAAGGGGATCATGCACCACAGAACCTGTGTCGAAACACCACAGCAGAACGCTGTGGTCGAAAGGAAGCATCAGCATATCCTCAATACAGCTAGGGCATTAAGATTCCAAAGTGGAATTCCTCTCAAATACTAGAACTATTGCATCCTCACTGCCGTTTACTTGATTAACAGGACACCATCTCGCATTTTAAATAACAAAAGTCCTTATCAAATCCTTTTTGATAAAAAGCCTGACTACCTGCAACTCAAAGTTTTTGGCTACCTAACTTTTGCTACTACCATTGTTAATGGGAGACATAAGTTCGATCCCAGAACGAGGAAATGCGTCTTCATAGGATATCCCTTTGGTGTCAAAGGATATAGCCTACTAGACATTGAAACTAAGAAAATAATTATTTCCAGAAATGTAGTTTTTTATGAAAATGTTTTTCCTTTTAAAACTGAAAATCCCACCAGTAGAGATAAAGAACAATTCAATCAAAGCAATGACATTTTTTCCCAAAATCCTATTCTTTATAATGATCTTGGTCTGACCACACCAACACAAAACACCTGTTGTGACACACCTGATCCTGAATCCCAGAGCACAGAATCCTTAGAAAATACTCTACAAAGCCTTAGCCACAATGAAACTGAACCAAGGCCTACAGATGAATTTTGTGATGTTCCTGATCCACCATCAGATAACATACCTGCCTCTCACTTGCCCCGTAGGTCTTCTAGAATTCCAAAAACACCAACTCACCTGCAGGACTTCATATGTCAGCAAGCTGCTTGCCTTCACCCATCTCAAAAGTCAAACAAGTTGAAGGTACTAAGCTCCTCAGGTAAGCAGTATCCTCTTAATGCTGTTATTTCATATGAAAAGTTATCAACCTCATATAAGGCTTTTGTAACTTCCCTCACATCACACTCTGAACCTAGAAACTATCAGGAAGCTAAAGAATCACCAGAATGGCGTGCTGCCATGAGTAATGAGATTAAAGCTCTCGAAATTAATGACACCCGGGATCTTGTGTTTTTACCCCCTGACAAAAGGGCAATAGGATGCAAATGGGTGTAAAAAATCAAGTTCAATGCTGATGGAAGCATAGAGAGGTTCAAAGCAAGGTTAGTTGCTAAAGGGTATACACAAGAGGAGGGTTTTGATTACCACGAAACCTTCTCGCTTGTGGCTAAGGTTGTTACCATTAGAACCCTATTGGCTCTGGCTGCAATAAAGGATTGGGACCTTTTCCAATTTGATGTCAATAACGCCTTCTTACACGGGGATTTGGAAAAAGAGGTATACATGGAACTTCCCCCAGGTTACTCAAACGATGATGGGAAGAAAGTTTGTAAACTCAAGAAAAGCTTATATGGCTTAAAACAGGCATCACGCCAATGGTACTCTAAGCTCTCTAAGTTCATCATTGAGTTAGGATACGTTCAATCTAAGGCAGACTATAGTCTGTTCACCAAAGGATCTGAAGACTCTTTTACTGCCATTTTGATATACGTTGACGATATAATTGTTGCAGGGAATTGTCTTAACACAATAAAACACCTGAAGGGGTGCCTTCATGAACAATTCAAAATCAAAGACCTTGGGAAGTTGAAATACTTCCTTGGCATAGAGGTAGCCAGGTCTGTAAAGGGCCTCCACATATGCCAACGTAAGTATGCTCTCGACATACTAAGTGATTCAGGGACTATTGGCTCGGCTCCAACTAGGATCCCCTTGGATCAAAATGGGAAATTAACTAAAGATGAAGGAGAACTTCTCCCTGATCCGGCTTTGTACAGGAGACTAATAGGGAGACTGCTGTACTTAACCATTACTAGGCCAGAAATCTCATACTCAGTCCAATTATTAAGTCAATTTATGTGTACTCCTCGACTACCACATTTACATGCAGCACACAAGGTTCTAAGATACATTAAGAGGGCTCCAGGACAAGGCCTATTCTACTCAGCAAAATCAGAGGAACAACTCCATGGATATTGTGATTCTGACTGGGGAGCGTGTACTGAGACCAGAAGATCAGTGAGTGGATATTGCGTCTTCATTGGAGACTCATTGGTGTCCTGGAAATCTAAGAAGCAACACGTCGTTTCCAGGTCCTCCTCAGAAGCTGAGTATAGAGCCATGGCCAACCTATGTTGTGAATTAACGTGGTTCAGATACTTGCTTAAAGATTTGAGAGCAGATCATCCTCAAGCTGCCTTGATGTATTGTGATAACAAATCTGCAGTTCACATTGCTACGAATCCAGTATTTCACGAAAGAACCAAGCACATAGAGCTTGATTGCCACCTAATCCGAGATAAAATACAAGAAGGAAGCATAATCACAAAACATGTTCCCAGCAAATCACAGACAGCAGACATTCTGACCAAGGCTTTGAGTTCTCAAAGTTTTTATTCATGCATGAACAAGATGGGAGTCATGGACATATACTCTCCATCTTGCGGGAGGCTATTGAAAAACGATGAAGAAGCTGAGCTGGNTTTCACGAAAGAACCAAGCTCATAGAGCTTGATTGCCACCTAATCTAAGAGACAAATCAGCACCATCCCACTTCTATTTTAGAAGAAACCATTGAAATATCTAGTAGCTAATTCAGTTTCTCCAGCTCATCATTTTTCTGTTTTTCTGTTTTAATTCCCTGCTCCACTTATCAGTATATATTCCTTTCTTGTTATGGATGTAATTATTGTGTATAAAAACAGCAGTCATGTGCCTTAGTAAATCAGAGAAATTATATACAATACAGATTTTCTCCAATTGTTCTTCAAACAAATCCTCTAGATTAATTACATTTAGAGATACTTTTATTTTCCAATTGTTGAAATGCTTAGATGTGGTTGACAGATATTTCTTTGCCAATCTCTGTTCCTTTCTATGATACTGAATGTCTCATAATTGACAATTTTTTTACCATACGTTTCTTATTATCATTTATGTTTCGTCAAATGCACATAAACACATCCTTTTTTTTTCTCAAATAGTGATGAAACAGAATCAGAGACTGTTAAAAAGGTAGTAAACAGCGTTCACCAGAATTCCATAAAGAGAATTTTGTTAGGAGAAGTAGATTATCTGTTTACAGTTACTTTCAACATAAAATGAAATACCAATAACAACTAACCACAACAGTTGCTCTTCTGCTCAATTGGCTGCCCCTTGATTTGAACCGTGTTAGTCGACTTCTTGTTTGCACTTGGCTGGCTACCCATTCTGCAAAATTACTTGTGTCAGATAGAAAAAAACCATTGACAGTAAACTAGAGTTCAGCTTCAAAGATTATACTAGAAAAAAAAGAATAATAATAATCTCGACCAACTATTTATCAAAATTCACCTCTCAAATATTCCAAGACAATAGGTGGAAGCAGAAATGAAAACATGCAAACATATAGTTTTATGATTAGTCGGGATCAAGAGAAAAACCATGGAAGGCAACTGAAATTAACCAGTATAGGAAACAAATCCTACAAGAAAAATCACTTCCATTTATGGTATAGAGAAACTAGTTGTGAAGTTCTGTGAATACCATAAAAATCTAAGAGGTTCTGACATTCAGCACAAGAATAGAAAGCATATGTAAGCAGATACGAAGTTCAGAACATGTCATAAGAGCAGTAATAAGTTGATTAGTAGCTTTACCTTTTCTTAATTTCCCCTGCCATAGTTAAGAAAGCCTGCTCCACATTGATAGCATCTTTGGCACTTGTCTCGAGGAAAGGAATCCCAAGCTCATCTGCAAATGCCTGCAATGAGGTCCAGCGTGAAATATGTGCATGATGAGACTACGGGGTTGAAGCTAGTTAAAACAATCAAACGTAAATAAACTTAATATAACGTTCTATATAAGGAATATATAATATAAAGTGTTACATATGGAAATGAAATTATAAGAGAATTTTATATTTGTAGACTACAGCTAAATTGGTTGTTGAAGAACAAAGTTTAGCTTTATATAAACATATTGGAGCAACTAAAATTAATACCTTTGCTGTTTGTGTGTCCACGACTTTGTTCTCTACTAGATCGCATTTGTTCCCCACTAAAAGTTTGCATACACTATCATTTGCATATCGGTCAATCTCATTAAGCCATTGCTTAACATTGTTGAAGCTCTCAATCTCAGTCACGTCATACACAATCTGTTGCAAAATAAACGCATGTAAGATTATACATATGAAGAAAGAAAAGGGAACAAATGGAAGTATATAAAGACAGGCAAAAATCTTAGCGAAGAATTAATGAAAACAACAGGTTTTTTATTTGAGGACAGTGGTTTCCATAAATTTCTAGAACAGAAGCACAAGCATACTGGAGAAACATGGCCCAGTGAATAATTATGAGATAAGACTTTATTCACAAGCTATCAATGTTCATGCGACTAAATTTTTGAGTTATTTGTCAATCAATTGCCGACAATCAAGACGCACTATATGGTATCCCAAGCAACCACCGTGAAACTTCTGCTCTAGATTTGTGAGTTTGAAACAACTCCATTGACTGAAAATGGCAAGGACTAGCTGAAAATCTAAGCCAGTTGAATAAATATTTCAAGAACTACAGAAAAATCCATGTGATGCCAACAATCGTGTCATTTTACAACCAAATAGTATAGTGAATGCATCAAGAAAGAAGTATGCAATGCACAACAATTATAACGTTGTTAAAAATAGGAAAATGAGATGAACACCTTAATACAAACAATTAAAATAGTGACAGCACCAGTCATATCCATGAAAGAGTACTGAAGACAAATGAGACACCAGTCATACCCATGAAAGATGGCAAGTAATAGATGTGCAATAGCAAAAGAATGCATAATAGCATTGGATGTCCTGAAAGAGGAACTAGCATACAAAACAAAGTTGACCTTCAACAATTCCAATCATCTTATTCAGGCATCAGTTCATAGTTTATCGCTTAATAAGGAGTTTTATTGTGCCCACACCTTTATGCAATAAAAACATCACAATCAAATGCCAGATATATGGTCAAGAAACATGAGATCAACCACAAGTACATTAACATCTTTCTTACAATGATCCCATGCGCTCCTCGATAGTAACTGCTCGTGATGGTGCGGAACCGCTCCTGGCCAGCAGTATCCCACTAGAAAGATAGGGAATGGAAACTATAATGTTAACTTAGTTCAATAATAACATTATTCAATACATCTATACAACGGACAATAATTAACATCTATGTTTCCTTGTTCATATAATTAGAAATAGCTACCTTAGTCAATAGTCATAGTTCAACATCGCAAAATGAAGCACTGATTTCGGAAAGCAGGCACTTACATCACTAATGGAGCTATTTCTCAACTGGTCTTAACATATGAGATCAGAAATATTATATGTACTATGAATGAAGCGATGACATGGACACACCAACATCAGGTTTCTCAAACGTGTAGGACACAGGACGTCAAGAAAAATTTGAGTCTTTGAATAAAATATTTTAAAATTATAGATTTAAATATTTTATCTTTATTTGAATATTTGATTCTGCTTGTTTTCCATTTTGTTTCTCATTTTAGAAGAAATTAGACCGTTGATGGGCCCTACCTAGCCCTTTTTTTGACTGGCCTCTCACATTGTGGGTAAGTAGCAGGCTTCCAACAGTAAAAAAAACTCATTATAATATGGAAAAAATGGAAAACAAGCACACGCTTTATTTTATTTTTAAATTTGATTTTGAAGATAGCAGGTTTTTTTTGAAAAAGATAATAATTAGAAAATGCCTCTATTTGTAGTATCAAGATAACTTTGGTTGCACTTTGTACTACTAGTGCCAAATGCAAATATATACATGCATATATATAACAAATTTGACATGAAGTTCAAACAATTTTTTTCGCATTATTTGAGTTTTCCACACTACAAAAATTTGCACAAAGGGGACTTGTCTGGGCCATTTCATTTACAAGACAGAGAAGTATCCATGTAGTGCCAATATTCAAAACATAAGAAATAGGACTGTCAATTCTGTGTCCCTCACATGTTGGAAATTTAGAAAAATATATAAAACTAAAACTGAGGTTCCATGCCTCATAGATTATGCTGTGATAAAAACAGAAGTAAAATACATCACCGTATGTTAAAGAAAAGGAAGCAAAAGAATCCTCAGTCATTCGCTATGTGATCAAAAAAATGTAAAAGTTCATCCCCTGGACAAGTAGAATTCATATAATTAATAGATTACAAGTGTAGCTAACCATCAAGACAGGCAAAGGGTAAAATCCTAAACTGTGGCAGACAGCAGGAGAAAAGGTACTTGCAAGCCGATGGCAAATAATTCTCCTATCTCAAATGAACTGCTGATGTGTCCCAAAACTACTTTACTGCCTTTGAAATAAAAATGGGAGATCTAAACTGAAATATCTTTTCTACAAGTCCAAATACTAGAATATTTTCGAATTTACTCTTGAAACTTGCCAAAATTTTGCTTCTTCCAAGCACAGAACATTTCAAAAAACATTGATACGCTAATGAATCAAACTTGAAACTTCAGCTGACAATGCATCTACTAGGAAGTTAAGTTCACAGCAACAAACAAAGACCATAATATTATTCATCTTAAACACAGGAAAGAAGATAGAATATACATGTTTCTTCAAACAAGAATGGGCTGAGTCAGTTTAAAAATACTACATAAACATTTAATCATATAGAAGTCATTTAGTGTAATTAGCTCACAATTTGCAACTTGATTGTCTTCCCATCCAGCTCTATTGTCCTAATTTTCTGCAAAAATTATACTTGATAGTGTTAACATCCAATAAAAATTGTAATAAAAAACTAAAAAATAACCAAACACATTACAATATAAGCTACACAAACATAGAGAGAAATTAAAAGTAACTTACAAAATCAACTCCTATGGTGCTAATGTAACTGTCATCGTAGGAATCATCCTGAAATCATCAACCAAATAACAAAATACCCACGGAATAAACAGTTGAACAAAAATTTCAAATTTAACCACCCACTATTGAACTGAAAATAATTAGCAACAATGTATTCCAAAGAAAGAGTAATCGAATCATGATTTTAAGCAAAACTGATAATGGAGCCGAAATATATTCAGCCAAGTCTTTAGAGTACCCCAAATCATAGTAACCTATCAGATGAGAAATACAAATGTATCCAAATAAACATTGATAACTACTTTTTCAGAATAATGAAAAAAGAATTAAAAAGGTCAGTTAAGAAAAGTATATAAGCGACATACAGCGAATCTGAGAAGAAGACAAGATTTGCCGACAGAGGAGTCACCGATTAACAGAAGCTTGAACAAATAATCGCTACCAAAAAGAAATAATTAAAAAAAACATAATAATAACAAGAATCTAAGAAAAATGTGAGTAAAATAGCTGAAAACGAAGTCTGAATTTCCTTACTATTCGTTGCTCATGCTTTCTTATTTTCTCGTGAAGAAATGGAAAGAGTTTTCGTGTTTCCGTTGAGAAGTAGCTATTGAGGGTGGGGATTGAAATGAAGTATTTGTTTAGAAGGGAAAGGAAAAGATTATTGGACTTTGCGTAATGATGACACTTGCACGATTTTCAAAAAATTGATTGGATGTGAATTATTTTTAGAGCAATACTATTCATCCCAACTATATTATAAATACAGTTTAGATGACTGCATTCACGTTTCATTTAACAAACACAGTTTAGGTGGTTCAATTTCACCTTTCACTTGACCTACCGTTTAAAGTCACTTAAACTGTGTTTGTAATTTCATTGGGGATGAATAGCATTACTCTTATTTTTAAGATGACAAATCACACGCAAATGAACTTAAACAAAGGTATACAATAAAGTATGAATAATGTTAGGGTTGAGTATAGTTTTCGTGGTAATTACATGACATTAAATGACCATAGGGGTTGAGTCCCAATCTATGTGACAATTATATGATATTATATGAATGACTCTATTAATTGAGTTATGTTTCTTTGTATTTAAATGAATCTATCATTTAGTCCATGTTTGGCCCCCATTAAATTAAATTACATTACATTAAATTTTTTTTTCTCTTTATTACAATCACACATTCATCAAATAAAAATAAATATTACACACAAATCTAAAAATTTTCATTACTTTTCCTTCACACATTCTCCCATCAATCACTATTCCAAAAATTTTCAACCCTCAAAAATGTCAAATAATGGGGGCCAAATAGCGGCAATACCATGTAATTACCACATAGACTGCAGCTCAACTCAGTTGGAAATGAATAGCATTACTCATAAAGTATACACCAAGCATAATTGAAAAGTGTGCATCTTGATCGACACCATCTAATGTGTCAAAATCTGATAATTGATTAAAAAATGCGTTGTCAAGATCAATGTACTAAAATTTGACAATTCACATGAATGTAAGTCAATATGTCAACATTTATTTATATGTAGCATGGTCCTCAACGTAAGGGAAGCATATTTTAAGGTAAATTTATCCAAAGGTCCCCCATTTTTGTAAGTTTGACAATCATATCCTCAACCTTCAATTTATAGCAATTATGTCTCCAACATTTTTAACACCATTTTGCTGCATGTCAACTTACTAGAAAGTCTAGTTAATTGTTAAATGGCCACGCAAAATATGCATAATGTCAGATTAGAGGACAAAATTCTCTAAAATTAGCAACAATTAGCCTCTATTTAGCTTTCATTTTTCTTCAAACTCAATTTAAACTTCATATTTTATGATAAGCATAACTTTTATCGACTTTCATAAAATTTATTTATTTAGCAAAATCAGAATGGATTTATGTAATTTGAACAATCGCCACGTGAATTTTCTTTCATGGTCGATGCCCCTACCGGATTGTTCAGATACCGGATTTATGTAATTTGAACAATCGCCACGTAATTTGATCATGGTCAATGCCCCTACCGGATACCACGTGAATTTTCTTTAGACAATTTTACTTTTTCAATCAGACATCACGTACATGTCCATCAAGTCGGAATAGCAAATGCACAATGTTACAAGGTTGAGAACGTGAGTGCATAAACGACTGGATATAGACATAACTACCACGCTCGTGAAATTTCGAGAACTCCTAGAGAAATTTACCCTACAATCAATCTATAAAGGAAGGGAAAGGAAAATGCTTTCTCAAGTTTCCACTTCATTTTCAACATACAATTCCTGTTTGAAATTGGAGAAATTCTCCATGAATCACCAAAGACAAAAATATAAAAGGACAAAAGTAATATTTTTTTTTTATCACAAAGGACAAAAGTAAGAGAAAATGATTAAAGAAAAATAAAGTGACCAGAATCTCACTTTCTTAGTTACTTAACTCCAATTATTCGTAAGTAAGTTGATTGCATTCCTTCTTTCATCTTTCGGTGATAAATCATAAAGTAGATAATTCTTGATTAGTATTTCCAAGTTTCTCGACTTGAAAATGAATAGACATGCTTTGTGTCAATCTAAGTGTCGTAAACAATATACCTAATCAAACTTAAACTCAATAATTAATTTTAACTTTATATTTTATGGAATACACAATTTTTTGACCACACATTTCATCAGCTTTTGTCAAATTTTACTAAAAACCCGTTTTTAATCTGCACCGCGCAAAGACAAAATAATAATTTAAATACAAGGGTCCGATAACATTTAACCTAAGCCCTCGAACTCTCTTATCATCTAAAATTATCCAAGTGTCTTCTAATTTCAATAGAATCTAGAAAATTAAATCAAGCGCAAATGGCAATTTCAATTTGTAGTTGCAAATGTGATTTATTTTCTCATATTTGCCACTGATTTTTTAAATTTACAACTTTTCAATTGCACGTCTCATCATTTCTTATCAAAATATACTAAAAAACTCATTTGTAACCAAACCAAACTATACATAGTTTTTCAAAGGGTAATTATATTCACGTCATAATTCTTGTTAGTAGCACGACATTTTATTTTCACTTAATATCTTCAACATTTCCTCATCATAAAACTTTTGTCCGTACTTTTTTTTCGTCGAATTCTTATCTTCAACATTCTATTAATTAACAAATCTTGTCTTTTATGATGGTTTCAGTTTTTTTTTTGCGTGCTTTAAAATGGGGAAAAATATTTTGTCATACTTTTGTATTTAATATTTTTTTGAAAAAATATGATTGAAAAATAATTTATGTTACACTTGTGTGAACGGACTTGTTTGATAGAAACCAGTATAAGATATGAGATGTGCTATTTAATAAAATGTTGAAGATAAAAATGAAAAAAAGAAATGGAAATTAATTAATACGTAAGGGTTACAGTAAACAAAGATCGAGAGACTTAAACAAAATTAAAATGTGTTGCAATAAATAAAAAATATAATGTGAATATAATTAGTCTTTCTCAAATGACTTGGTGAACCTTGCATTATTCATCTTTTGGAAAACTCAAGCTCTTACAAATTGAGATAGTAACACTGCAAAGGGGCAGCAATATAACCTTAAAGAGACAAAAAAATAAATAAATAAATAAATTATTGTTTAATTCCCAAGGAGTAAGGACAAAATGGTTCGTTCAATTTATTCCTATGACTTGGGATTGTGAAATGCCTTAATCTTCCCACTTGTTTCTTCATGTAGTCCTCACATAAAAACTCCTTAGAATACATATCTTCCACAACCCTATTCACATCATGCACAAAAACTTCAGTCTCTCCATTCTCCCTATTCCGTGCCATCATCCCGGCCGTATATATCGCAGTCATCCTCCCCGGTGCCTCCTCATGGTATCCAGTAGGAGCATCGACCAGGATCAAATCCCATTTTATTTCATAAACTTCACTAGGCAAACTCTTCAAGGCTAGTTGGCACATGGAGTATTTGGGATCAGAAATTGCAGTGCATTCTGGCCCTTTGCCTACTTCAATTAAGTCATTTGCCTGGTTTACTTTAGTATCATAAGTAACATGATATGACTCTAACATGGGGAATCTTTTCTTGACTTGCTCAATCCATGCTTCATCTTCCTCTAAGAAAATTGTACGCCCACCGTAGTTAAGTGATTGCCACATGAGACTATCGTGGCCGAGGCCGAAGATCAAGAAGTTACAAGGGGACTTGTGTTCTAAAACCCTGGAAGTTACTGATATTTCTTTGAGTGTTTGCTGTGGAGTGATTTTGGAGGCTGTGTAGTGAATCACGGCTTGAGCAAGAGGAGATGGGATTTTGGTGAAAGTAGGTGAACAATTTGTTGTCTCCACATTTCTTGAATCACTTGGGCTCAGAGATGGGATTGATCTTGATCTTAAAATAAAGAGAAGATAAACAGATAGAACAATTCCAATTGGAAGAAGCTTTAGATTGAAAGGACGTTTTGCTTTTGCTCTCATGTTTGATAATCAAGGAAAGAAACTTGAAAATTTTCAAGGAAATTGCATGGAAAAATAAGGATTAAGGATAAGGCCAATATATAATTGTGATGAAGTGAAGACAAGAGAAGTAAGGAAATTGTGGATGAAGCAAAATGGTTGCTGGTGTGGTGGATCTGCTAATGGAGATGGACCATTCCTTTTGATATTGACAGAGTTGGTGCCTTCATGATTAAACACTGATTACCTTTCTGAAGTTTCGTCCATCATGAAGATGAAGATGAAGATGAGAAGATTGAGATGAAACAAATCAATTAGGTAGGTAAGTAGGGTATGACATCGAAGCTCTCAACCAATCGAGTTAACTTAAAGCACGGTAACAATTTAGAATGACAACGGAATGGGACGAGGATTTAAATATTCCTACTTCACTCTCCTTTACTTATTTATTAAATACGAATTTGATTTGAAACTTAAAACAAATTTAGAAAAATAAGAATTGGAACCGAGATTATATACCCCATCCTCATTCTAATTCCCTATTGGGACAGGACGGCATAATCAATTCTCAATTCTATTACACAATATATGATTTGAACTTAAGAGAAGATAAAAAAATTGCGAAAAGTCAAACCACTTTGAGGCCTGCAAATACTATCCATTTTTCACAAATCTTTTTATTTATTTATAAACATTAGCAAAACCTATGCTAAGAAGAATCGGACCGAATCACTCAATCCGATTCAATTGAATACTTATGACAAGAAGACTCACTATATAGCCTGAGTTAGGGGTTTTAAATGGGATGAGCCGAGCTACTTGGCTCACTCATCATCAGGCTCGGCACAATCCACCATGCTTTGTCAAATACGGAATCAGCTCACATCCTTAGGGAACGAGCTACAGTTTACAAGTCGACGAGCGGTTCGTCTTACTCAATAGCTCTGGCCTGAACATTGAAAAGTGTACGTTTCTACCTAAAAAAAAATACATACATGCATGCATAAAATTATTATAAGTTTTTACTTGCTGGCTGACGACAGGCTGTCACCAACAAAGTTCTCTTCTCGCTCTCAGATACCTCCATTCTACCTTACATCGTTCTTTCTCCATGTTCTCTCTCTCTCTCGAAATTTTTATCTGTCTCTTCGATTCTTTTCTCTCTTTGGGGTTTCCTGCTATTCTGTGGTGATATTTGGATTTTCGGTTTCTGCTCTCTGGATCATTGTTTACTAATCGTAAGCTTCCTCCTGATCTGATTTTCTTCTTCTTCTTCCTTTATTTGTTTTAAATTTTTGAATCTTCTGAGTTTTAAGTTCGATTTTTGTATTCTATATTCGTTGCAATATGCCTGAGCTATGAAAGTTTTAAGTGAGAAATATGTATGTTTCCTTTTTATCGGAAAAGTAGTAACATTTTATGTGGTCAATACAATGGCATAAAATGATCCTGCTGAATAGGTACGAGGGTCTATAGGACTTGTATTGGACCTACGTTATTTGCACAGTCACATTGTAACTGGTCATTTCATCTATTTCACTCATCTCACTGTAAAAACTATTTCTTCCTTCCTATTTGTGCTAATAGTCCCTACTACAAAAATATTTGTCTCTGTAACTTACAAAAGGAGATTACCTTTTTCATTAAACGAAAAAGATTATTGTAGCAACCAAAGAAAACATGGAGTCCAATTTCTATATGGTTTCCAAGTTTCAACAAATGATCCCACTTTTCCTCCAATGAAAGACTTCAATTCGTATATATCTACCTGCACATATCAAAGCACATAACTCACTACATTTTCATGGCATGGAAAACACAGAATGTTGGGCTTTGTGGTGCCTAGTTTTGTTTGATCCGGTTGACGACCCAACCCGAATAATGTTGCGTGATTTTTTTAATGGGAGATTTTCCGAGGCTTAATCCATGGAACGGAGGCTTGCCCATTTGAATCATGTGAGAAGGATATATAGAAAACACAGTAGGGTTCTTTATGATATATAGAGAGAGAAATTGAACGACCACACTTTGTATTCTTTTCCTGGTAATAGTGAAATCCCTACAACTCCATGGACGTAGGCAAATTGGCCGAACCACATAAATATTGTCTGTGCATGTGATTGTTTTTCTTTGGCGTGTGTTTTCTCTATTCAGTGTTTCTCACATGTTGGGAATTTCGGGTTGATTCCCTACATAGAATACTTCAATAGACTGATCCAAGCAGGGAAAAAAATTATTCAGATATCAAATTCTGGAACTACAATGAAAATTGCAGCTTTAATTTGCACCTCCATGCAGATGGTCTGATGATGGAATATACAGATGAACATCATGAATATTAGCTATAAGTTGTTATTTATTCTCTTATCAATACTTTGCTCTTTCTTGCAGGGTGGGATGAGTACCTCATGGCCTTGATCCAAAAGTTCCACTGCTATTGACATGCATGCTAGCCCAGCTCCAATAATAGCAACTTTTAGCTTGGCTGCTTGGGTCACCTGTAATGTTCCGGTTCCGGTGGAAACAAACCTTTTGGAGCTGCAAGGTGTAGCAGCAAATTTATTAAACGTAAATGAATCCAGATTTTTCTAAATTCATTAACAAGTCTTTAGTCTCTGTCTAGAAATCAAAACTCATACATGATGCACTGTGTATCATGGCCGGAGTACGCATGGAACTGGGTAAATTTGTCAAGTTAGCTTTTCAACCAGGTACTTAGAGCATGTTTTGCGAAGCCTAAAACGCAGGTAAAGTTACTTTTAATTTTTTTGACCCCAAAATGTATACATAACTTGCATATTTCTTATGCTCAAGTAGTAAAAGAGTTACTTTTCTTAAAAAGCAAGTCAGAAATAAGTATTTCGCCTAGAAAATTTCTTTTTACTTTAAACGTATATTATTAAGCTTAGCCAGTCATGCTTTTAGCTCGGGTCCGTGAAATAGTTCTCAAACACTCAAAACTTTATATGCAAAGAGAATCGCCTAACAACCGACCAAAATGAAACGGCATAAAGTTCAATCCTATAGAAATGTACAAAGCTGATACAAGTTCATCCCCCACCGGTGGCACTAAAATAGTGCAATTTTCACACTGTGATTTAGTAATATCCAACTCATTACACCTGTTGGGATTTACGCATGAAACCAATTCACGGTAGTCAATAATGTATACGTAAGTAAGAGCAATAAAGAACATAACAAAAACACACGACTAGTCTGGGGGCTCAAGAACAGCCCGTTCCACTAGTGCAAATCGCCATCCACAAAGAGATAAAGATTACATCAAGAACCACTCAAAACAAAGTTTTGATTATCGTTCATAAGATCTCCCAAAAAACATACAGATCGAACTTACAGATCTCACAAGACACTTAGAGAAAAATCTATAAAATTCAGCGACTATTTCAGGCCTGAATAATAACAAGATTCACCTCAACAACTAGTTAAATCTATTACAGAGAACAACCCAAGAAGAAGAAAGTACGGACTCTACACGAAGGAGTCAAGGAGAGAGAGAACATAAGAATCTAGAAGATGAAAAGTGAAAGTCTCAAAAGGCTGAAGAGACGGTAACATCACTCAAGAATTAATCTCAGCCGTTCATCCCATCTAACAGTCTCTATTATTTCAAACTAGCACAATTCGTGTGAATCGCTTAGCTACCAATAAGTAGTTGACACTTAAGCAGTTCAAGTTAAAATAATCAGCCAAACCAATTGACACAAATAGCACCAGTTTAATAGTGTTTTGAGAATCACAATTCTCACATTCTTCATCTTAGTTCTCATAACACTCTCTCTCACTTTTGGTTGCAGAATTGCACATGGATGGATGTTCATCATCATTGCCCAAAACCTGCAAGAAAAATTAACCCGTGTCAGTATGTAACAAAGATAAGCACAATTTAAATTTTTCTATAGACAGAATTTTTGTCCCCATATCAAAATTAATCGATTAAGTACCATACTATAAAACCGTCTACTCAACCTCAAATCACACTCATGTACATCAGTACATGATTCTTCCTTAGACGTGACCGTTTACAATACATCAATATAGCTAGTTATTACAATGTATATTAAATTAATGAATTTTGGAAAATATTATGTAACTTCAAAACCAATGTACCATATATATGTCAACTAATTATTCCGAACTAAAGAAGATACAATCGAAATAGCTTAATTAAAATTTTAATTCTCATTTTAGGTAGCCTTTAATATATTATAGATTGTAGAAGGAAATATAGATACATGTATTAAAACAAAAAAATTACTTATTTTTAATTTTCGCTAATGATTTTTTTGTTTTTATTTTTACTTTATGAAAATTACTTATGAGTAAATTTACATATAAATTTTTTATACTTAGCCAAACATGCACGTGAGGAGAAGGCAAGGACGAATTTTTTAATGCGGTTGAGACTACATATTGCCCCTATTTCTTGGGAATAAAATCAGATAATCAGATTTTAGTATATTTTGATAAAAATTGATGAAATATATGGTTGAAATATATTTTTGACTTTAAAATTTTAATCTTTACCTAACAAGTATTTTGTGTTTCTATTCATGTCCATTTGGTCATTCTCCATATCGCTAAACTCGAGTTATTGAAAGATGTTACGTTTCCCGTGTTTTACATGAACATTGTGGAAAGATTGTGTAGATTTTTACTTAACATTGCGCTAGAAATCCTTCGACAACTCAAGCCTGAACGTTGGACATATGTTCGGCTAGTGTCGTTACTCATGTTTGGACTTACTAGTCAAGTTGAACGTGCAATTCTGAAATACTTTATCAACGTCGTAAAAGTAATATTTGATACAAACTTGTTGGGAGGATTTGATGAGTATCAAATTATCTAAAGAAAATAAAATTTAGGATAAAATTTTAAGAGAATAAAATTGCACTCTCAAAACTCTACTTTTATTATTCAATTTTTTTTTGTGACAATGAAATACTACAATGAGCAATATTTTTATACTATATTTGGTACATAAGAATTAATCTAATACATGAATTTAAACATCCATTAAAATTCATATATACATAAGTAGGAATAAATTCATCTATAATAATCTATATTCGTGTAGATCAAGATTCATCACGTAAAGATTCATTGAGTTTAGATTAATTTGAATATTAATTAATTAAGAATTAATGACATGAAATTCATACATGACAAGGATTTTGTAATATTTATTATATATTCAAAAACAAAAAGTAATGTATTATTGAAATAATTAAATTGTAGTTTGGTTAAAATAGTTCAAAAAATGATTCTCAATTGATGTGATATTTAATATATTATGGATATGTCTCCTAGACGAACAATAGACATTCACTGATATACCGGAGTACATTTAAATAGCATTTTGTGGTTCAATGATGGCCTCATTCATGCGATCAAAGTTCACAAATTTAACTCGAACCTAATCGTGTACACTTTAGTGGACTATGAAATGGACAAATATATCACGTATTTTCCTTCTTCTCGATTGTGTTACTCCCTTGCAATTCCACTTGTAAAATGTGTCGTTGTGCTACTCTTATTTTTACAGACAAATTAGTTTTTCTCCATCTATTACTGATATAATGTCCATAATGTTAGAACTTCACAAGTAAAGAGAATGCAAGGACTCGTGAAATTTTCACTTGCCATTTCAAGGTTCAACAGTTGAAATTTAATTACAATAAAATGTATAACTAAAATTTATTTTTGTGAATGTAGAGATCTGTTAAAAGTATTCAAACGTGAATGAGTTGATTCATTATGGAAAAGAGAATAAATTTTCCTTAATACAATTGAAATTTGGCCTTCGTTTTCTCGAACACCTGTTCTGCTATAATAGCTCCTTTACCATCGGCTCTTTTGATCTCCAAGTTAGCCTTTTGATAAAACCCGGTACCTCTCAGTGCATCAGCAATAAAATCATCAAATCCGATGGCAATGGCAGCTTCCGCTTTGGCTCCATATACCAACCTCTGGTTGAAAACGCAAAAAGAAAAAAACATAGGAATGTGATGCAATCCAAACCAACTTACCAAACATGTCATAGGCTCGAAATAATAATGGAATGCAATAAGAAAAGGTGATTCAGTGACTGAACCTTAATTCTTGAGAGATGGATAGCACCAAAGCACATAGGACATGGCTCACACGAAGCATAAATCTCACAGTCAGAGAGCTCAATTTTGTTTAGCTTTTTACATGCCTGGAGATGGATCATCGCAAGCATGAGATGACAATTTATAGAGTGATAACGATATAAATCTGCAAAACATAAACTCGGGAAGTAAACGGATGACATTTTTAATATGAAGAACATTGACCATCAAATGCAGGTTTTGATAAAATTCAATTCTCTCCTATAAGAGCAACTTAGACGATTAAGAGTATGGCAGTAACCAACATAGCAATTGCAACATCATAAAGGAGATTTATATCATTTGACATTAAAACAAACAGTTATCCACTAAACCTAGATCCACGTATTTCCCTTGAAGGAAAAACAAGGAAAAAGAACAGTCATTTGAAAGTCTTTCATTTCTTCTAATGTCCCATCTAGATTCTTCAAGCTACTAATTGAAGAAAAAGGCTTCCTTCTAATGATCATGACTTGACCAAAACTGGCAAGAATTTATTATAGGATAAAAATTAGTAGCAAGAACTATTGCAAAACAATAAAATGCAAAAAAGAGAACTTATCGATAGAGACTCGTGACAATACAATATCTTAAAGTGAAATTGTACATCGTTAACTACTGTAACCTCTTTGAACAATCACTCACCGGATAAAATGATCGAATCACTTGTGCAGCAATCACAAGCGATTTCCAGAATATTAAATATTACTCTAGAACAATATCTAAAAAAAATGAAATAATACTAAAAACGAGTTTTTAATACAGAAGTTGAAGAATACTTTCAGTGCGTTTTTTGTCAAAGAAAAAGAGGGGCTCCTCCAGGCTAAAAGTTTACTATCTTATCTCTATATGAATATCCATGAAATCTTTTCTAGTCATAGATGGAACGTTCATCTTTTCCATGTTTATAGACGATCTAAAATACATTGCCACTTAAAGATTTCTTGTCCACACATATGCATGTAGAGAACCAAAATATAATTCAAAAGTGCAATATCATAAACCTAATGCCTGATATACTAGTGTAATATAACAGGAGACGACACATTCCCCAAAAAATTTCAATGATTTATTATTTACATACAACAGTCTTTAGCTAAATAGAAAACCAAGAAGTTCAAACTGGGGATACATGAAAAAATCTCTACCAATATTTCACAGCCCTTTCTGCAAATGAAGTGTTGATTTAATGGGTACTTTTTATATCAGTTTGGTAGTTACATTTATAAAAGGATGGGTCTAATCAGCCATTGGATCCCCAGTTCCAGAAATTAAAATTTGCTAGGGGTCCTAGATGGTATTATAGTATCTTAAACATGGCGCCAAAAGCAACAATGAAAATCGAAGAAGTGGATAATCAGAATTTCTGAAATACACAGGTAAAATAATGTTTTCCAACACTAAGCAGAAATCAGTCAAAGAATAGTCTAGAAAAAAAATCATAAATGAGCAAATGGTAGCCACTAAAATACAAGACCATCAAATAATCAGAAAAAAATGTCAACCATAGAAGTCAAAGCAGGTTTATTTTCAGACTGAATCATGAGAAGAGAGAGCTAGTGCCATGCTTCAGTTTAAAGTTGGGTACAGAATAATAAAGATTCTGCTCACAGTTATCCGAAAAATCGGGAAAATTAGCAGATCGATTTCCAAAAAATTTATACCTTCTTACACCATAACCAAAAAAATTGTATGAAATATCCACACATTGGAAATTGGACAACAGTCTATTTATTGTTCAGCTGCCTAGAATTGCAAGGCCAATCTTTTTAGAAAAATCCAGCCACTAGATGTAACAATCGTGTCTCATAACTACCTTGTGGATGTGAACCCACAAATATTTAGATGCACATTTGACTATTCAAGAGAACACTCTACTAAAGTGGAATCACAAAAACTCCTAAAGAAAAGTTATCTCCAGAAAGACCTCTGAACTTTAAATAATTGAGACAATTCTAACCTCTCTTATTGCTGTAACCTCAGCATGAGCTGTAGGGTCAGTATGCTTCAAAACCATATTGTGACAGCTTACAACAACTTCATCATTGCGAACAACTACTGCACCAAAAGGACCTCCATTTCCACAGTCCACTCCTCTGTAGGCTTCTTCAACTGCCTTTGTCAAGAATTTGTGGTCTCTATCCTGAACAGCTGCAACAATCACAAAAGTAGAAAAATGTGATTCCTATAGATTTATGTGTCCACAATCTTCACAAAGCATAGCACCGTTGAAGGAGTGATATCCTAAGTATGAGATCAGAGGAAGAAAAATGAAGATGGGATATCAATTAATCATAAGTACATCTAATGGGCTGTTTCAAATTGCAGGTGCTACTAACAAAGCCAATTGTATTGTCTACCATCAAATACAGAGTAGAGGGAATGTTGAACGTAAAGCAGAAGACAAAATACTCAGAAGATCATCACTATTACTCAATTCAATATGACATTATCCTGACTATTTCAAATTAGCTCCTCAAACTGTGTTCCCATCCAGGTCTATTTCTTCCTGTAAGAAACATGCCATTGGATACTTTTTAACTATCTCTATTAGTGGCTTCTAGTTTTTCCTTTCCCTATCCCTATTATACGAGGACATCGGATTTCATCTTATGGGAGCATTTATTAGTCTCTGTTCAAAGTGTCGGGGCACCATTCCATGTAAATATCTTTAGTTAATATACATCCTATTGAGGCTACATTTACCCGGTAACAATGTGGGATTGTTTTCTCTTGACGACATGATCTTGGCCTCCAATCCATTAACGGGAACGAAACAATAGAAACTTGACTGGTAAAAAGAATTGTATCCATATCAACTTCAAATGGAAATCTTGGCGCCAATCCATTAAAGCGAATGTAAATAAACAACGTAGCAATAGAAACTTGACCGGTAAAAAGAATCGAATCTATATCAACTTCAAATGGAAACAACAATGCATGTGAACGCTAAAAACTTACTGTATTCCAATTTGAAACAGAGAAGACTAGTTACACACAAAAGAAATTGAGGTTACCTTCCTGGTGAACAGCAAATGCAGAAGCAACAGAAATAGTTCCATCTTTAGCATCAATAACTGATATTAGAAAAAGGAGAGTCAGCTAATGCATCAAACATCTAAATAATGTTTATAATATCCAAGATGCAAACTTTACGCTAAAATCTAACCAGAATATAGTAGAACAGAAAATGAAATCAGTTAGTACATGAGAAGAAACAATAATCTAGCTTAGCATAAGTGATTTCAAGCAGCTTAGACAGCACACTGAATTGAACCCTAGAAAAGTACACTGCATATTATTACAAAACAAAAACGTAAATCTTTTACATCTTTTAACCACAATTAATGTGCAAGGGAGGTCAATAGCTACATTGTCTAAATTTAGCTTGTGGTGGTAAATTACCTATATAAGATCCAAATCCGACTAATCTGATGAGCAAAATAGTAAAATGTCATATTAGCATAAGCCGCTAGGGCAATCAAATCATAAGCACTCATAATGAATCATGACTAATTACCAGCCATGATGAAGTTTTTAAAGAACCATAAATTACCAATTATATGCCTATGCTAAAGCTAAAACCATGACAATCCGTCATTTGCTCAATAAGCTCATCAGTCATCATGTAGCAAAAAGCCCTGCATGGTTTTAAAAAACTATTTGAGGCTTATGCAAATGCCAAAAACCTTTAAGGCCATTTGAGAGGCATATGTCTCGTCTTACTAGAGGCTTACGTATTGACTTGGTGAGACACCTCAAGCCTGAGCTTCAAGCCGGCTAAGGTGTTTGCCCATTTGCCTTGCATTTTTCAAACATCTAATTATTGACCTTAGCCTTTTGAGTTATTTCTTTATAACTTCAAATGTTTTACAGACCTTTTGTTTTCTTTTTTCTACCTACACTGAAGAAAAAATGGAAAGGAGACTACACCATTGCAATTGAAGGATGATGATAACAAATGAAAAGAAACTTATAATGAGGAAGTTAATGATTCCAATATTAATAGGTAAGAAATTTCTGAGTAGTCATAATTACTAATATGAGAACTTATTATTTTCTATTTTCTTGATCTATTTTATGTTTGATTGTATGTTAGACTTTGACTTTTGTTAATTAGCTTTGTGATGGATTATTTTTAAGGGTTCATGGCATATTAAAAGCATAATTTTTTTATTTTTGGACTTGTTCTATCTTGAGGCTAACGTGTTGCCTCACAGAGATAAAACAACTGAATACCTGATTAAGCATTTTTAAACATGAAGCCCCTACAATAATGTCTACTGAAGTTGTACCTAGTCTGTTATTATTGAATTATGGACTGTTAGATTGGACTTTTGAAAAGTCAAAAACTGTTTCTGAGATTAAGAAGTGACTTTGAACATATTTGGATAATTTTTTGAAAGTATTTTGTGTGAATAAAAGAGTTTGTGGAGGAAGTTGACATAAAGAAGCTTCCACGGGAAACTCTTTTACAATAAGCACAAGAAAAAGCCCTCCGAACGGCCCTATAACTCATAACTGGGAGAACTTTGCACGGGTTTTGGGAGGTTATGAGATTCCATCTAAACTGAGACGTGTGCTTTTACTTCAATTAGCCCATGAACTTCATAATGTTGATTCAAAAGCATCTATTTGAATTGCAATAAATAGCCAAATGGTGGTCCTGATTAGAAAGGTCCACTCATCATTATGATCTAATTCTGCAGAATCTGGATCAACTTCACATCAAAAATCCCCAAAAAGGGATTAATGACAAGAGATTAATCCACTTAATGTGGAAATTCCAAGAAAATATCAAACAACATTGCACATCACCATCGCCAAATTATATAATAATACTTTTGACGCGAAAAAATAGTGAATCTCATTCCAGAAAAGAATAAAAAGAAAATGAATGAATATTCACAACGAACAATGCAAAAGAAAAACAATTACGAAAAGTTTAACAGATTCCTTACCATTAGCTTCTTCCATAACGAGACTAAAATTCAAGAATTGGGTATTCTCTAGAAATGGATCGGACGAGAAAATAGAGTTGAAGAAGACGTGAAAGCAAGGTAGAGGAAACTGATCGGTCCACGTTTCCGCTCTCTATATATGCACGTGATATATGAACGGAAAAGCAAACTGTTGTTTGACAAAGTGGAATGAATTTGAAATTTGATTGCGGATGAGTTGAACGAACATTCTCCGCGAAAGTGATTTGTTAAAAAATAATAAAAATTTTAAATTTATTTGCGATATTAATTTATTGAAAAATGTGTAATTAAAATAACAGAGGTAAAAATATATTTTAAAAAATGGGAATCAAACAAGTGCTATTTGTATGTCATAAAATTTGAGTGGTTTAGATACAGGTGTTAGAAAAAAAGTGATGAAGTTTTTATTTTTATTTAGTCGAAAAAATTTTGAATATGTGGTTTAGATATACGTTTGCTTAGTTTATATATAATTTTTTTAGTTAAAAAATTATTTTTTTATTGATAAAGATGTAATTTTTTTGATTAATTAAATAACTAATGATTTAATGTTTATATAATTGATAAATAATTACACATTATGATATATTTAAAAAAGAGCATTAATAGAATCTATAGCAAGGTTCTATAAATAAATATCGCTCATAATTTTATGAAAGCTGTTTGAGATAATTTTGATTCTAAGATAACGATTCAACATTTTCCTCATTTTGCACTGCTTCAATAGAAAGGATATTAAATTGCCTATATTTTTTCTCATTTAGTTTCTCTGGATCTATATAAACTTGAATCTTTCAAATTTCTTTTGATGATTTCTCTGCAACGCTTTTAACATATGGTCAATTTTCCTACAAAAAAAATTTTGAATAGGTTTACATAATTAATAAAAAAACCCAGTTATTTTTTAAATAACTCATTATAATAAAAAATCAAGTTTTGAAAAAAAATTTAAAAAATACCTCTCCACCATGTCTCATCAGTTTAATTGTTGAACAACCAAGTGTCTGTTCTACTATTTCACCAAACATAGTTGCAGCTAGTTTTCCAGTATTATCGTCCAGTTCTACATATCCCCTAACACTTTAAATGCTTTGAATATATTAATTTTAATTTTAATAGTATTAAATTATAAATTAAATCAGACATCAATTTTAAATTAAAATTGTAAGAAACATACCGTTGTTTACAGACCCCTTGGCTTTTGCAATATATACAAATGAAGCTTTCATTATATTTATATCCAATTCTTTTATTACAGTAAACGCAAGACATATAATAAAATATTTGGGCAAACTCATTCACATTTAACTTCGCCTATTTCCAAAATTTTGCTTTCTACATTAAATCATAATCAATTTTTAGAATGAATGTTAGTGTAAAGACAAAAAAAATGTATAAGTTTGTGTTTCGTACTATTATATTATATCAAATTTTGCACTTTAATCATGAACATTTTGTACATACTAAAATAATAGATAACATTACAATACAAAACTAAATAAATAAATATTTTTTCTTCATTAAGTTCAATGTACCTTACCAAATAAATTATTAGCATTTTTAAATTGATAATCTCAACGTCCATTTTTTTTTTTTTTTGTTTAATTTTTTCCTAGTGACTAAAATGTAGTAGTACAATACCTTTTGCATTTTCTATTCATTTATTATTAGATAATGGAATTCAAACAGACACAACATCAATGGCCACGAACGGTAGCTTAATTGCTATTTAATGGAAACAATAAAACTAACGGTGAAAAAAGATTTTCCGTTAAAACAAGAATTCCCGTTTCTTATGCACTTTTTATATATAGAAGATATCATTATATCTACATGTTTATTCACGTGGATCAACCATTTTACTTGACAACTTTAGTCTATGTTCGACAATCATTATTTGAAAAAATAAAATTTATATACTCATTTTCAATCACATTCACAAAATGAAATATTTTGCACGTAAACTCAAAATTTTTCTTTACTTTTTCACCATACACTCTTCTAAAAATTATTGTTCAAAATGTTGTTTTTCTCAAATAATAGCTATCAAACATGGGCTTAAGCTCTTATTTGACAACTATTAAAAGTAGTTTTTGAAATGAAATGAGTTTTGTAATGATGATATTTTGGAGAATTTATAATTAAAAAATAGGAAATTTTTTGAGTTTATGTGCAAAATATTTTATTGTAAAAATGTTTGATTGAAAATGAATTTTTAAAAAAATGAGTTTTTAATTAATGGAAATTAAACAAGGGCTAAATCAACAATTAACATTAAAGGATTTAGAAAATTGTCGTATTTCTTGGGTATTTAGCAGTGTTCTAAAAGCGTAAAGCGTGGCTAGGCGTGGAAGCCAAGTTTCAAACTTTACGAGCTTAGACGAGCCTAAAAGAAGCTTGGACGTAAAAAATATTTTTTTATTTTAAATTTTTAATCATTGTAAAAAAAAATTAATAATTTAAATAATACATATCAAATATCTAAAATTATAAAATACTGTATTTACTTAATAATTCTTACATAAAGATAAGTTTCAAAATCATAATTACATAATGTAGATTACTTGTAGCTTAAATCTTATCTAATCCAACTCTTTATCGGACTCCAATTCAATATCTTCTTCTTCATCAAATTCGTCATCCGTATCGTCCGATACAAAATCATCATTCTCGGGCTCTCTTATTCCATTTTGATCATTTCTTGTTCCTCTTGTAGGTTGTAAGATATCATTCTCCACTCTATCACTGTCTTCCTTACCCTCATCATCACAACCCTCTATAATCCAATATTGTGCATTAGTAGCATCACTTGCTAGTAAAGTCTGTATTTTGGCATTCCTATCCTTCTTGTTCATCAACCTTGCATTAAATTAGACATAAACAAGATTGTTCATTCTCGTAGTGTCAAGTCTATTTCTTTTCTTGGTGTGTATCTACAAACAAAAAAAAAAGAAAAAGAAAAAGAAACAAAAAGAAAAGTATATTTAATGGAGCATAGCATATTCAAGGAATTATTCATTGGCCTAATTAGTACTTATCCCTTCAAAAGAACTCCAATTTCTTTCACAACCTGATGAACTAACCAACTATCTTTTTTTCCATTGTCTTTAAATATGGTGTTTCATTGTCATAGAAATCCCACCAACTCACTAATAAATATAAAAGAAAGAGAAACATGTTACAAGGTATAATTCAAATTCCAGTGCAACGGGGTATAAATTAATTCATTGAACAAGTTATACTCCCAAGATGCGGAAAATCAATGAAGAGATAAATTTAGGTATAGAACTTACCAGGATTGTAGTTTGCATCATTGTTCTCACATCCACTTATTGCTAGCTTTTTTCCCAATGAAACTTTTTTTGAACATATCTTTGCAACTCAATATTTATCGCATGATGTTGCATTTGATCATCAGGAAAGAATTTCTCAACACTAGCAATCAAATTATTTATAATCAATTGATCATCTTTAATACATGGATTCTTGNGTGCATCTACAAAAAAAAAAAAAACTTGGCGAAGGCAAACCTAGGCGAGCATTAAGCGGTCAACATTATCGTTGACCGCTTAATTCCCGCTTAGGCTCAAGGCGAAGCATTTTCATCACGCTTCTCACCTAGGCAATGCTCAAACGGGCTTTTTAGAACACTGATACTATTTAGGTAGCTTCTATATGTGAGATGGTGATTCCCACTCCTTGTACAATCAACGTTGACTTTGGTTTCAAAAGGGAGTTTTGTTAAGTAGACAGGGCCATCTTGGCCCAATCTCTCTAGGGGGTGCCACATGAGCCCCCTATTCATCCAGGGCCTATGTGGGCACTGGACAAATAGCTAAACTCTTCGAAAAGATTATAGATGAGATTTTCACTACAGTACAATACATGGACAAGTTGTGAAATCATAAAATATTCAAAAGGCGGACACTGTAAAAATGAGATTTTTTCAACCTTTTGTGTTAAGGGTTTTGCTATGTGTACACCACCTCAGCGTACAAATAGCAAAATCCATTGTGTTACACATGCCACCCCTCTCCTCGCAAATTTGATTGTTTATTAAACATCTACAAAGATTATGGATATGGAATACGTCGAGAACATTGGGATTACACTTACACCCTAAGGGCCTGCTTGGGAGTTTTATTTTCAAGGGTTTTGAACAATTTTGAATGACTTTTTTTATGAGGGGTTGGAAGAAACAGTGCTTACTACTTTCTTTGGGCACTAATTTTGGATTGTTTAAAAGCCACCCAAAAACGGTATAGTATAATTTTGATCGATTTTCTCAACCAAAATCGGTAATTTTATACCGTTTCTCAAATTCTCTTCTAATTTTACCATTTATAAAATAATTATTTCAAACCAACATATTTTGTTTAATATTAATATATTAACTTAAAAAAATTATAAAGTTTATTTATAACTAAAAATACAAACATAAAATTTTAAGCAAATATTAACTCGTATATAAAAAAATTACATACAAGTAAAATATCACTTATAAGTAAAAATTTTCCTATAAAAAAATATAAACGGAAAATTTTACCAAGGGACATATATTTAACTTCATTTTTTTAAAAAACTTTCAATACCGATAAATAATAAACTCTCAAATATGGGTTGGGCTATTTTAAAAATCGTTACTAAAACCACTCATAATCGGTCTACTCATAAATGCTCAAAATCGGTACTTTGAAAAACGTTCGTAACCACTACATGGGAACTCTCAAGCATGCCCTAATATTCTGCAAGGTTGTTCAATATTAGTCAACGAAATTATTAGAATTTGTGATTTTGAGATTCTATACTCTTTATGATGAAGTATGTTGATTATTTTTTTCTATTTTGATAACTGTTGACCCCAAAAAATGTTGCCAACAGATGCCGTGCCTACTCGTGCACGTGCAAGCCTTGTCCAGCACGCTCGTGCCGTAGAACGGTCAGGAAGGCTCCGGAATCGAGGCGTGGGAGGGACTCGCCGCATGAGATTTCAGA